TCCCGCCTTCTCCACCCGTGCTCACTGCCAACCGCAGCTCCAAAGCGTCTTCGAGCTCTGTGATTCTGGCCCAGGTGGGCACAGGTGGTCACAACCGCCAGTCATCGGCCCACAGCCAGAGAGCTCAGGGATGGGATGATTGAGTGTGGGGGCATTAGGCCACAGCTCTCAGAGAACCCCTGACTATAAAGCACTAGCATACATTTTTACAAACTTGTCACAGTGCCTTGTGGACCAACCATGCGTTCATTTTGTCCTACAAATTAAAATCAAATCGTGTTTAAAGCAATCTCATTAAATTGCTTGCAAAATGGTGCACATACCACAGCACCCCTGGTGTGGCAGGGCTACATTATCATTCATTCCAGAACCTTCCTTTCATGGGTATGCTACCCGTCATCTCGTTTCCCTGCCTTTGCCTTACCTGTGTTCTACCTGGATCATCACAAGCAGAGCCCCTGGAGTTTCCAGCCTGGCCAACAACCGAGCCCCATGGAAGAAAAATGGGGAAGACAGGGCTAAAAAAGTCAAAGAAGACTTCATTTAAGATTACTACCATAGGGGAGAGAGATTGAACTCACTCTGCTCGAACAGAAGGTGTGAGGCTTTTAAGCACTGGAGTGAGCCAGTGTGAAAGCACCAGAGGATGCCGGGGGAGGCTGGGTGGGTGTGATTGGGCCATCTGTGTTTGCTTATTGGCATTTGTTAAAGTTAGGCTCTGGCCATCCCACAGAGACTGGGAGATAAGGACAACCTCCTTCTTGACCCTTACATTCCCAAGAGATGGTTTCCAGGTCCTTGAGAAAGACACTCCTGGGTTGTAAAACTAGCAACAGGCTGGGAGAAGATGAACATCTATGAGGGGCAGAGAAAGAATCTCTAGTTGTGAGTTTTCTAAGAAGCAGAGGGTCAGGGGCTTGAAGTTGGGAAGATGCCTTCTGAAGTATGGCCCAGCGGGGGAATGTGAAGACCATCATGTTCCAGCCTGTCCTTGGGGAAGTAAGGAAGTCCTCCCAGCCCCGCCTTCACACCGAGGGTGAGTGTGAGATACAGCAGTTCTCCTGATGGCTGAGCCCAGGCCCCAGCAGCGTTCCCGAGTCATGAGGCTTTGAACCCACCTTGGGGTCTGGTGTTGCAGAGCTGGATGCTGGGGTCACTGAGTTATATATCACCACTGCCTTCAGAGGCCCATGCCTATAAAAAGGTCCTGCTCCCAAGAGCCTGCCTGTCTTTCCACCTTCATCCTGTTCCTTCTCTACCTGGAGTCATCTTCCACATGGAAGTCACGCACTCCACTTTGGAGGTCTAGCTCCTTCTCACTAACCTCTCTGAGCAAAGACCTTCCCCAGCCATCCTATTTTCATGGATGAAATGAGAGCCTGATAGAATCAAGTAAATAATAGTTTCTAGTATAAAAATCAAAGCTAGGACTTGCTCTAGACCCACCAAGTTGAGCCCATCCTAAACCTCTCTGGGCCCACGCTCACTATCTAAAACGAAGCCTTCTCAGATCCACTCTTCTGAACTTGCACAAGCCAGTGGCTACACTAGCCAGTCTGTAGACCGTTGGTGGGAATGCAGGTGCATTTCCCTGGAGGCAGGGCCATGGCCTTCATCAGATTCCCAATGGAAAACCTGCCTTCCAACCACATGGAAGACTCACTGACTGGGTTGGTTCATGTTTCGGAGGCCTTTTCAACTCCTGACTTTGTAAAAAAGGAAGCCCCAACAAACACAGCTAGGTCCCCTGCACACATTCAGAGGTTGGGCTGCTTCTCTGTCCTTAAAATAGCTCCCCTGAGAACATGACCCGGGGACTTCCTCCAGGGAAGCTACAACTCAGAGGAAGTCCTGCTCTAGATCTGCGTCCCAATGTTTTGCTCAAACTGAAGCGTTTTCTCCACTGAAACAGAAAATCCAAGCCAGACGGGCACAGCCCTCAGCATGCTCTGCCTCTGACATTCGGTTGCAGAGTGGTTCCAAGAGGGCCAGGAGCTGCTGACGGAAAGGGGGCAAGAAGAAGAAAGGGATTTTTGCTAAATATCTAGAGAATAACTCAGTATTTCCTGGGGCCCAGAAACTACTAGAGTCAAATGGGCTTGTGAAGAGCCATTACATTTTGAATTACATCTCAATTGTGACTGTGATTTTTCTCCATCCTGTGCAAATAAACGAGAGAGGCTCTTTCCTTGAAGACTTCGTAAACCCAGGCTTTACCTCATCACCCAAAGAAACAAGCTCGTCTTTACTGACTCCGGAAAAAGACATCACCAGCCCAGCCTGGGACTCGCACACGGGGAATTGAAGACGGCAGTATAATTAAGTTCACGAAAGGCTGGTTCTCGTGGCCATATTTCAACCGCTCATAACGCCTTCTCATCCATTCTACCAAATGACTTTACTCCATAATGTATTCAGAATGAAAAATATAATGGATTCTTCTAGATATTCAATTAGTCCAATAAAAAGAGAAAAATAATTTTTCAATCAAGAAATTTAGCCAAATGACTAAAGCTGACAGTGAAAAACCAACTTCAGAGTAATTATGCATTTCTTTTGAGTGCTTGCTCTAACAAAAGCGGTGACATGCCGCATTAGAGATAGCCACCCTCCGGATAATTAACTACCTTGGTGTTACTATTTCAGCAGTTATCTATTTGTTTACTCGGAAACTGTCTTTGGGTGTTGCTCTATTTCAGTTTCCACCAGCCCCACTATGGAGCACCCGCTCTGTCTGTCATGACACCCTGCTTCGTCCCCCTCGAGCTGGTCTCTTCCTGTTAGTGGGAACCTTTCCCAGAGAGGCAACCAGTAACATTCTCCTTGAAAACCCCAGGCCTTCTCTTCACCCCTTATCGCTTTTGGTTGTGCTAATTCATTGAACTGTTGATCACTGGCTCCTCCTCCAGTCCATCTTCCCTATGTCTTCTGCAAAACCATCTCTGCTCTTTCACCTTTTCGTTTCCTACGATCCCACTCTCCGGCCTTTACCACTTCCCCCTTCCATAACCCACTTCACTAGAGAGGTGTCAAATGTATCTGGAGGCCAATGATCCCAACCTCTGACTCAGCCTCACAGTTCCCCTAAGCCGCTCACCTCCACACAGGCGCGCTGACATCACTGAGTGACACGGGGGCTGGGGACACGATCCACGCTGGACACACGGTTTCTCCACTCCCTACCACCCTCCTGCTTCCCTTCTGGCAGCCTCACCCAAGTACCTCGTCCCCAATACAAGACATTTCTCTCCTGTTCAAGCTGCCCACGTCATGACTCAGTCCACCTCTGGTCTCCAGGCTCCAATGACTAACATCTCCCACCTGTAGTTCCATAACCTTCCTGAAAAAACCTCCAGTGCTTCTGTGTGGTCTGTGGCCTCAGCACGGGCTCCTGTCATAACCAGCATGGCCCCATGCCCCACTCCGTCTTTCCAGCCTCATCCTGTGCCACCCTCCAGCACGCCCTGGACGGAAGCAGTCCACAGTGGCACCTGACGTCTCCGTGTGAAGTAGTGCGTGGGGAGGCCAACGCACTGACCCACAGCTGACCTGAAACTCGGCAGAACCCCGCGTCCTCCCAGACAGTTCCTCATCCTCTTCCAGGTCCTACACGGTCCAGGCCCTTCCGCAAGGCTCCATTGTGGCACCGCTGGAGGCTACGAAATTGTTGAAAAATGGCATGAGGCAGGCTCAGCAGCGCCCCTTCGCTCACGGTGCAGTCGTCTGTCCCTTCTCTTTCAGTGTCACCTGCACAAAGGCCACGGTACACGCTTTCTTTTACTGACCGTGCGAGTAACACACCGCCCCTGGAAAGAGCTCGTCGTTTCTCCATGAGGACGGGCCTTGCCTGTTCTCCACAGCTGCTCTCTGGCTCCATTCCAACCCCGTGTGATCAGGAAGCTTCACTTCAAATTTAGTGTGCACTTCACAGAATAAATATAGTACAAGATAAAATTATAAATCTGGTTAAGTGCAAGTAAGAGCAGGAAAAATAAAACGGATCCAAGTGTTAGGCAGTACTGCCCAGAGCCACTGCACAGCCACCGTGTAAAACTGCAGCGCGGGACTGCAGTGTGGGAGGGCGGCACGTCCTTTACGGGACAGGCCAGTCTGTACACTTAGGATTTGGTGCTAACCTTTCTCATAGAAAATCAGAAACCACTGGTAAATGGTTTTTCCAAGAGGAAACCTCTAACACATAGATGATTAAAAATGGATTCAGAGACAAAAATCAAGCAGAATCTTGTTGGACTGAACACCCTTTCTTTAAGTGACATTATTAGGTGATTATTAGGCCTTCTCTTCTTAAACTAATGTTCTCTAAAATATTGGGTTTTAAAAGAAAAGGCTTTAGAAATAAGCCCCGAAGGTTGTATGATGAATGGACCCACTGCTCCCGCAGTCAGCTGACCGGTTCACTTCTAACCAACCAGCCCACTCGTAAACCTGTCCTGTCCCGCCCGGTCAGCCACAGCACCCGCAGTGGCACTGTCAGCCAGCTGACACCCTTTTTCACCCCCAAAAAAGAAAATCTTGAATTTGATTTTTTACTCTTTAGTCAACCCCGCAGTTAGCATAACGCTACCCCCAGAGAACTCTCCCTCGTACACGCCCCTCCTCCCTAGACCACCGCCTAAGCGAGTACCTGGCAGTTTCCATGAAAGGCTTACTGTGATGAGAAAGGGAAGGCCGTATTCATTCTCTCCATTCTTTGAGTGACTTTCAGTGTGTTAGAATGACTTCTGTGTCCGGAGCTGAGCGTTCTAAAGGCTAAGTATTAAACCTGAAGAACTTCGATCAGAAGTCTTATATATGATAAAAGACATTGTCAACCACTAAACTTCATACAAAAATGTGATCTATTATTGTTAGTCTTGTTCAAAATTTCTCATAATAAATGCAAAATATATCCACTATGCATTGCCAAAACTGCCGTGGAGAGCTCCGTCCGGCCCGCCACCCCACCTGCCATGTACTAACTTCTCCCATCTGTCCCGCAGGCAGCCCTCCGGCGACTGGCACAGGCACTCTGCTGATCACGCTGGAAGACGTGAACGACAACGCCCCCTTCATTTACCCCACTGTGGCTGAAGTCTGTGACGACGCCAAAAACCTCAGCGTAGTCATTCTGGGAGCGTCAGATAAGGATCTTCACCCAAATACAGATCCTTTCAAATTTGAAATTCATAAACAAACTGTTCCTGATAAAGTTTGGAAAATCTCCAAGATCAACAGTAAGTCCGGTTAAAACATCCCATTGATATGTTCTTCTGACTTTGAACTTCATTTTTCTTTCCTGAAATGCTCCTCTCCTGCTCTCTGGAGGAGTCCCTTATGGCTTTAGTTATTTACGCTGTATAAATACTGACAATTTTCCCACCAGCAAACAAATACAGTTTGTAGAGATGCCGAATAGCCGTCTCCTGTGAATACAAACGTGGACATTCTCTTTTTTTGCTTCTTCCCTATCTTTCGTGTGCTGTTCACCCTCTCTCGCACACCCTAGTCTGTCTGTCTGTCCTGCACACTCCACACTGGACCTGTGACCCAGTGTTCTGACGAGTCTGTGGTCTCCACATTTCTGCCAACTCGGAGTACCCACTCACAAGACTGTGACTCTTTTTTCTTCCCCCCCCCTTCCTTTTTTAGTTAACCCCCACAGACTCTTTGGCCAATCTACCCGGTCTTCAGCCTTTGAAAAGAGGGGTCTCTTCATCCCCCAACTACCCTACATCTCTTGGATTAACTGTCTCTCCTATGTCAGAGACAGAGAACTGTATGCTACCTTCACTGTGGAGAGATTTTCCATGGTACGCCTGCCTTCATAAAAGACTAGAGAAAAAAGAAGCACTAGAAAGATCATCTGTCTTTTTGTTTTTAGAGAGATTTTTGCTATATGGTGCGTGTGCTTGCTGGAGAGACAGAAAGCGTGAAATCACCCCTTAGGGGATATGGCCACACTGCAATCCCTTCTCCTCCATTCTCCTCTCAGGATTTTGGTCATGTCTGCACACATGCCTGGTGTGAGTTTCAAGCCACCTGGTCCAGGACTTGAACCCTGGTCGACTATGTGGGAGTCCAGCGACATAAACATTACACCATCTGCTAGACCCAGAAGAGAATTTGTGCAAAGTTTCGGCTTTTGGTCTTCTGTTTTCTGCTGCGAACTCCTCAAACTTAACCTAGTCTTTACGGTGACCTTGGCCTGTCTTTCACATCCTTAGTTTCTGTCATCAGCTTTGACACCTTCTCCCATGTGTTCTCTCTTCAGCGACACTTACAAGCAGTGTCTCTTTCTACCTGTCTTTCCATGCAGGCAGACGGAACTCAAAACTTAACCCAATATTCATTACCTGCCTTAGACTGAAATACCTGTGTACCGAATTAAGAAATTAGCCCTCTACCCACAGTGCCTCACCCTCTTTCTTTCCCAAATGTGAACTGCTGAGTTCACCTTGTCCTCCAATAAAGCCAGAATAACAAAAGTAAGCGAGCTCACACATGCACATATCCTGTCTTCAGTAAGGAGTTCTCCTCTGCCGACCCAGTCAGGGTTCTCAGTTCTTACAGTGATAGAAGTTTTGAAGGGGACAGGGACTTACCCACTCCAAGTGTTGAGAATGTGCTGTGTAGTCATGCATAAAATATTCTATTAAAAAATGTTGCATCTATTGTTAAAGTCCTATCTCATATCTTGTTAGTGTCGTTCTCCTGTTACTGATTCTGTCTGCCTTTTTGTCTATTTTATTGCTTTCTAAAGAATGAATTCTGTTACACTGATTATTTTTAATTAAAATGGCCCTTCTCTTGTTTGAGGTGTTAGTGTTTTATTTGCTAGTGTTTATGACTGTAGTCAGATTGAATAAGCATCAACAATGCTTGCCAACTGGAACCTCCACCAAAGGGAAATGGGAAACCTCCTTGAGCTCCCCTGCCATTTACTGGGCAACTGTCACATTGGTCATTTCCTCCCCTGTCCATTTCTGTTCGTTATCATTCTCTTGTTTTCTGTCCTAATTTTAGTTAAAAGATGCATGTCTTCTAAACTCTGTTATCCCACATTTTTCTTCTCTGAATACATAGCACTATTTATGCTCAGAAAGGGGCAGTGAAAAAAAACAATCCCTAGTCATCTGAGTGATTGAAAAGACTAGCCTGGGACCAGCAGTTAGCGTAATGGCTATGTCGCTGGACTCCCACGTAGTCGACCACAGTTCGCATCCCAGACCCGGTGGCTTAAAAAACTCACACCGGGCACGTGTGCGTGCGTGCCCAAGATCCAGAGAGGAGAATGGAGGAGAAAGGATTGCGGCGTGGCCATCCCCCCTGGGGGGTGATTTCTTGCTTTGTGTCTCTCTGTCTCTGTCTGTCTGTCTGGCAAGCGCACACACCCTATAGTGAAAATCTCTCCAAAAAAAGAAAAGACTAGCCTGAGGCTAGAGAACAGGCCAGGTGGAGTGACCAGTTCGGAATGCCACCCAGTGGCCTGGGTCACGGCAGATACTCCCACTGAGCATGGGATGAGAGCAGTGGCAGGGAAGCTCAAGGGCCTTGCTCCCAAGCTGTGCATTTCCACCCGAATCTAGGGCTATGGGCTGAAGACTGATCAAAAACATGGACTGGTGGGCCAGCCAGTGGCCTGGGGGTTAAGATGGCTGGATCCCACATGGCTAACTGTGCAGCTCAACTCCCAGATCCAGTAGCTTTAAAAACAAGCCAGGCATGTATGTATATATGCCCCAAATCACAAAACAAGAACGAAGGAGAAAGGATTATGTAGCCAACCTGTCAAGGGGTGCTCCCACTCTCTTGCTTGCTCGCTTGCTTGCTCTGTCTGTCTCTGATGGTAACACATGCCCTAATGGGAAAAAACGGACTGCAGAACCCTGCTCTATGACAGCACATGGGTCCTGCCCACACCTCGAGCCGTGGATTTTCACACTCCTCGATGTGCTGGCTGTCAAATGCAGTCGTCAGGGCGGTGTCATGGGTGTCACACTGCGCGGGAGTTCATCGGCATCGTTGTCACACACGTGGGTCTCCTCGAAGTGTATCCCAGCAGCACAGACTCACAGAGCTGGGGTGATAGGCATGCCCTTCTCTGTGCTGCCCAGTACAGGAGCCACCAGCCCGGCGTGACTACCGGGCACTTGGCATGTGGCGGGTGCCGCTGAGGAACAAGTTTGTATTTTTACTTGATGTCGATTAATTTAAATGTAAACATTCCTGTGGTTGTAAATTAAAATGTTGTGCCTGTTTTGTGTGATTTTAATTATCAAAATCTCCCTTGTTTATTTGGAAAAGTCTAAATCTCTCTCACAAAGGCCGTCCTTGTCTTCGTAGATACACACGCCCTAGTCAGCCTTCTCCAAAACCTGAACAAGGCAAACTACAACCTGCCTATTATGGTGACAGATTCAGGGAAGCCACCCATGACGAACATCACAGATCTCAGGGTACAGGTGTGTTCCTGCAAGAACTCCAAAGTGGACTGCAACTCTGCGGGAGCCCTGCGCTTCAGCGTGACCTCGCTCCTACTCCTCTCTCTCTGCAGTTTAGCTGGTAAGTCGGCCTCACTCCGGTGCACCCTCAGGTAGGAAAGTGCTGTTTCACCGGGTTCACAAAGCCATTTTTCCTACATTTATCTTCCAAGATAATTTACCCCAGAGGAAGCATTCATCTTCCGTTTATGTCTGTGTGATAGAAAAAGTTACATATGAATGTGTCCCCACTAATGTTTAAAGGCATTTTAACAGTTCCCCGCCAGCCAGTCAGAGGAATTCTGCAAAGGCATCCATCGCTACCCTGCAAGCCAGGTGATAAGGCAAACTTTCCGCAAATGCCACTCAACCTGAGCCAATGGAAAGGTGCCCAGATTAGCTAACTGGTCTACCAGGGGGCTATTTCTCTGTATTCTGCAGAGTAGTCTGCAAGGTTAAAAGTTGAGAATTCAAGGATGGACGTTGGACTGTAAGAACAAAGATAAATGAATAATTCCCTCTTTTTTTCCACTGTCTGATAGTAACGACTATAATATAATGAAACATTATCTTAAACAAATGAATTATTATGCTAAGTAATCTAAATGTGAGCATAAAATGAATAAATACATGTCAGCTATTTCCTATTTATGGAACGTTAGTTCAATTTTAACTTTAGCAATTATTCTCATATAGCTATTGCCACCCAAAGCTTTTGAACCTTGTTATTTACATTCTGAGGAAGTATCATATCATTGTGAATTAGAACGCTGGGAAATTGACGGTTAGGAAAATCCTGGTCACACAATAGAACCACCTGGGGAACTTTAAACTAGGTGTCTGCCCGTGCCCAGACGCTACCTGTGCCTGGAGGTGTGGTTCAGACGTTGGTCCATTTCAAAGGCTCACCAGGTGATTCTAAGGCACCATCGTGATGAGCGGCCGCCTGTGGGGCTCCTGGACACGCTGACATCCTCTGCTCTGGTGACATCCTGAACACGTGCTGGTTCCTTCAGCTCGTATCTCTTTCTCCTGATACAGACTTAGAATATTTTAGATGTCCAGTCAGGGCCTTCATAGCCCAAACGATAAAAATGTACAAATTAGGGGGCCAGCAGGTGGTATAGTGCTTAAGGCATTGGACTCCCACATGGCTGACCGTGGTTCAAGTCCTGGACCCAGTGGCTTGAAAATCATGCCAAGCACATGTGCATGCATGCCCAAAATCCCAGGAGGAGAATGGAGAAGGAATTGCACATGGGCATTCTCCCGGACAGTGATTTCTCACTTCCCCTCTCCCTGTCTCTCTCTCCAGGGAGTTCATGTGCCCTGTGGGGAAAAAAAAAGAAAAAGAAAGAGAAAGGAAGGAAGGAAGGAAGGAAGGAAGGACGGACGGACGGAAGGAAGGAAGGAAGGATATGAACATAGAAATACTTAATATTGATTATACTAGAAAACCTCAAATCCAGGAAGGGGGTTGTGGGCAGGGAGCAAAACACACCTGACTGTACCAGTATTCCAAAAAAAAGGTATGCAAGAAGCTTATAGAACTGAAGCTCAGGTAAGACAGGAAGATAAACTTCACGAAGAATAGAAGCCAACTAGGAAGAGTGGAAACAGAGTTGACTGGCAGTTCGGCCTGAGCTTGCTCTACACAGCTGCCACCGCGTGATGAACGCAACATGCGAGTCGGAGCGGTGGTTCCTAAATGCTATCATATGTTAGACCACCTAGGAAACATCTTTATGATACAAATTCCTGGTTCACAGGGGTAAGTCAGGACACTTTGTGAAGCAGTCCCACAGGACAAAATTCCCAGTTTAAGTTTGAAAAGCTTGCTGGGCAAACCAGGCGCACATATGTCCATGACTAGGGACTGATCCGAAAGTGGAGCATGGCATCAGGACCTTGTTGGGGTACCGTCTCTGTCTGTCTGTCTGTCTCTCTCACTCATGGAAGAAATAAATAAGCTGTTTTTAAAAAGTACATATTCCTGGGCTCAGTCTCCTTGAGATTTTGATCAATGAATCTGCATTAGGAGGTAGGGATGGGAGATTGGAGACAGATGGAGACATGGATGGATGGGTAGACAAAAGGTAATACAAGGGGATTTCAAAAGGTTTGTGAAAAAATTGAATTAAGCGTATTTTCAAAAAAATGTTGAAATCCATGCATAATTTTGCGCCTGTTTCTATTTTGCCAGTGGGCATGTGCTCTGGCCAGAGAGTAATAGAGAAAAAACGCCCACAATGGGGCATGGTCACGCGCAGCCCTTCTGAGCCCTACGCTCAGCCGCTGTCTCGTAAGAGCAGACACCAAAGCAGCTGACCCATGGGTGCCACTGTTAACACGGTGTTGGCCAGGGGCCACACAGAATGAGCCTCAACACTTAAACAAGGGTTGAGGGAGAGGAACGATTTCTAAAACCACAAACTAGATTTTAAAGTGCAAGGGCAGAATACCTTTCTAGCTTAAGCCATAGCCTTCGTAAGAATTTCAGGGGAAGTGATCTGATGGATTCTGACCACAGCTTGAAGCAGGGTCAGGGAACTGCGGGCTCACTGGGCCACACTGGGCCACTGCTTGCCTTTATACTGGCACACGGCCACACCCTTTCATCTGCATCTTGCCTGTGATTGGTTTCTGCTGCAGTGCGGATTGAGACGCTCTGGCCATCCCTGTAGCTGATAAAGCCGGGGTGGCCAGCCCGTGGGGTGGCGGTTAAGGCAGCTGGATCCCCCTGGCTGACTGGAAAGTTCAAGTCCTGGATCTGGCAGGCTGAGAAACATGCTAGGTATATGTCCAAAATCCTAAGAGGAGAATGGAGGAAAAGGGATTGCAATGTGGCCCCCTGCTCCAAGGGGTGATTTCTCCCCCTCCCTGCCCCCCACAAGCACACGTACTCTATAGCAAACTTTAAAAAAATGAGGTTTGCCAGTGCATGCTTGAAAGCCTCCCTCATCAAACTCCACTGTGGTATGGGAACAGATCGCATCATACAGCATGACAAGCAAAACGGTTTTCTCCCCCCTCGAATAATGAAGCAGTCTAGCATTAGCCAAACCCAGTGGTCTGTGGCTTCTTTCTACACTTTTTCCTTTGATCTGGTAGGTTCACCCACTGCACAGATGAGAAAACTGATGTTCAGGAAGGTCCCCAGGTAAGGAAGCAGTAAGGCCAACACTTACGCTAGGCTACCTCAATTATGGGATCAGGTAACAGAAAATATTTCAATTCATTGTGATGCTATAAATAGCTTTATTGCAACCGAAAATTGAACTGAAGGATCGGTACTTCCTTCTCTGACATCTGAGTAGAAAGGAAATAAAACTAATGATATCCAGAATAATAAAATAATGTAAAGAAGTTGTATTTGTTGTCACTGTGGTTTGGACTGTGTGGTAATGACGCAGGTGAAGGCACAGTCTTCCTTAGCCCCTGCCCAGGGAGGAAGGCCAGCCTTGTTATCAGCTGTGTCAGTCACCTTTCCTCCATGGCTCTGTGTGGAATGACACAGGAGAGTCTCAAAGGACAGATTGTCCAGAAACTTCTGACCCTTGTTTTAGGCTTAGTCAGAAATAGCAAGAATATGAAAACACCACCGATCAGGTGAATCATCTTAACAAGTACCAAAATTAAATGACTCCGTACTGGAGAAAGACAACCTCTGTCACAATAAAACAGTTTAAAGTGATCAAGATGAGCAACGGATAGCCGCTAAACACTTTTTGATATTTTAAATTAAGGTATTATTTGTATTCAACAAAATTCACCCATTCGAGTATACAGTTTGATGGATTTTCTTAACTGTACACAGTTGTGTATCCACACCACCATCAAGATACAGTTTCTGGGTAACCAGCAGTTAGCGTAATGGCTATGTCACTGGACTCCCACGTAGTCGACCGTGGTTCGCGTCCCGGACCCGGTGGCTTAAAACTCACGCCGGGCGCGTGTGCGTGCGTGCCCAAGATCCCGAGAGGAGAATGGAGGAGAAGGGATTGCGGCGTGACCATCCCCCCTGGGGGGTGATTTCTCGCTTTCTGTCTCTCTGTCTCTCTCTGTCTGTCTGGCGAGCACACGTGCCCTATAGCAAAAACAATCTCTCAAAAAAAAAAAAAAAAGATACAGTTTCTGGGCTGGCCTGGTTGCCTAGTGGATTCCACATAGCCCATCAAGTGGTTCAAGTCCTGGACCCAGCAATTTGCAAAACACCCTGGGTGCATACTATAAATGGCATGCGTGGATAAATCTCTAGAAGGTAGAAGTGGAGGGAAGGATTGCAGTGTAACCCATGGGGGTGCTTTCTCCCTCTCCTTCTCTGTGTCTCTCTGGCAAATAAAGAAAAGAGAAAAGTACACTGTCCTTTGCTATTAATCCCTCCTCCCACTCAAGCCCTCCTCGATCTGCTTCTCTAGCATTTCCTAGAGCATATCAATACTGTGTTTCTTTTTACTGTGAAATGTATTACAGGCAGAGACAGAGCCTGAAAAAGCACCCACTGAAGGGCGGGGGCTGTCTTCTGCTCGTGCATGGCCCCTGAGTCATGCCTGGCAGAGGAGCTACAGCCCCGGAAGGCCATAGAACTTCATGGACAGCGAGAGCTGACCCAAGGGCTCTCTGTGACCATGCGTATGTAAGCTAAGGCTTTGCACAAATTACACAGATTACTTCATGTAATCATCTCGAAAGCCCTAGGCGGAGGGATCATGTATACCATAGCCTCAATTGACTTAAAGCAGGATTTGGAGAGACCGATTTGAAAACAAGGGACTGAAGACTAATTTAGTAGATCTTATTCAACCAGATCTTTTTCCTTTTTTTTTTATAATTACGAGAACATGTGCACTCATCAGAGAGACAGAGAGACATGGTAGGGGTAGGGGTGTGGGGAAAAAGCACCCCCTAATGGGGCTTTCTTCACCCCACCAGGATTTGGAGGCATGCATGCACATACACCCAGCGTGCTTTTCGAGCCTCTGGAATCAAGATTTAAATGAGAGTCGCCATGTGGGATCCAGCTCCCTTCACCACTAGGATGTGGTGTTGCCCCTCCACCCCTTTTTTTCTATTTTTAAGTGACTTTTCTCTTAAGAAATATCTGGAAATATCTAGAGACATTTTGGTCATCATAGCCAGGGCAGGGGTTCCTACTAGTAGCCCCTAGTCGGTCAGAGCCGGACGGGGCTCAACCTCTTCCCAGGTACAGGACAGCCTCATGAGCAAGAATCACCCAGTCCTCAACACGACAGCGCTGCGAGACCATGCTCCTGCCTCTAACCAAAGTTAGACGCAAAAATAGAGACAGTGCACCAGCCTAGCGATACAAGCGATGTCTGACTCTAAAAAAGAAAATTTATCCAACCTAAAAGAACATCTTTTCAAATGTTATTTCTAACAGATTTCTTCAGCAATAATTCGTATTTTACAACTGACTTGCAACTCGGCTGTGAGGCCCAGTCAGTAGGAAAACGAAATAACCTCCTGACAGTGTCTGCCGTGTGGGGTACTTCTGGCTGGAGGCAGGACTGGCTTCGTCTCAGGACCCAGCCACCGGTCAGATGAGCAGCGCACCGCACTTGCAGGCCACCTCATCCCCGCCTTTGTTCTTCCCTCTCGTTGGAGTCAGACTCTGTGACAGAAGCCTGGGAGTGAGGGTGGGCTTTGGCAGCTTTCACGGCAGACACGGCAGTTCACGTGGCCTCGTGGAATGTCAGTTCTGAGTGGAACTTAGTGTTCAGTGATGGACTTGCACGGACACAGAAGTGCTTGCAAGGAGTCAGGTAGCACATACACACACATGTGCACACACACGCATGCACACGCACACAAGGCAGGCAAAAACATGACTGATTTGCAAACTGGATCTGGGTGTATAGTGACAAAGCCTGTCCCTACTGCAGTGCTGAGGACAGGAGAGTGTCAGGCTCTGTCACTAGGCCAGCCAGCACACACAGGTGGCCTGAATGAGAAACCATGAGCAGGGGCGGGACGGTGGGCTCCAGAATGCTCCCTCGCTGATGGCGTGTCCTGTGAACTTTCCCCTTAAGTGACATGCTCTCACAGTGCACAGCTCTGCGTGGCGCCTTGTCTCCTCTGGGAATGTCATGCTCCCACATGTGGTCGGCTGTGTAATCACCCCCAAAAGTATCTTCATCCTAATCCTTGGAATCTGTGGACACATTACCTATATGGTAGAAGAGACTTCGCAGCTGGAATTAAGCTAAGGATCTCGACTGGAGAGCTTATCCTGGATTAGCAGGTGAGCCTAAGCTAGTCACCACGTCCTTACAAGAGGGATGAAGGCGGAGTTAGAAGAGACCACGGAAGCAGAGGAAAGCAGAGTCAGCGGTGGTCCTGCACTTCCAGCTTTGAAGATGGAGAAGGAGCCACAAGCCAAAGACTACAGGCAGCCGCTAGGATCTAGAAGAGGCTAAGAAACAGATTCTCTGCAAGGCCTCCGATACACTGCCCTGCCAGCCATTGGGCTTTAGCCCCATAAGACTCATTTCAGACTTGGGACTGGCAGACGTGTACGAGGGTGCGTCTTTGTCACTTTAGCCACTAAGCCTGTGGCCATCAGGCCCAGCAGCACTAGAAAACTAACGCACTACATCTGAAAACCACCAGTAGGTGTCTTGCTCTGTAACGAAAGAACACAGGGGACCATCCTCAGTCTGCAAGTTGCAAATCACTTGCTCATAAACTAGCTAAACTTTGTGCTAATGCACAAGCCAGAAGGGAGAGGAGCTGTTTAGCATCTCTAAAGTCATCGTTAACTTTTCCAGAGAAGTCCAGCTTTTTAAGACAGGAACCAGCAGAACCATTCCTTCTGTTTTCAAATGCTACGCTTAAGAACAAAGGACTCCCTAGGTGGTGGGATGTTTATAATGTGTTTATTACAGCTTGTCAGTCATTTCTCCAGCCATTAGCTACAGTGTTTTGGATCGAGTGTGATGTTCTTGACTTAACTCTGAATCTTCTCCCACTCAGGTCTGTGAGAACTCCTGACATCTGAAGCTTGACTCCCAAGTTTCCATAGCAACAGGAAAAAGGAAAAAAAAATCTATCCAAATCTGAAGATCGCAGTTTACAGCTATCAAACTTCACAACTAGGCCTCGATTGTTCCAGATTTCTGTTTTCTTTGCAGTTTCACTTAGTCTGTACTTCCTCATTTTGACAGCCTCTTCCTTCCTCCTTTAATTAATGGAACCCTCTGAATTTTCCCTGAATGTTTAAAGATCATGCCCTATAACTGGACCTTCTGGGAGCAGGAACAATGACTACTTTTTCTGATGTGTTGACGTGTTGCTAGCCAGTGCTGCACTCAGCTTTGTCTGTGGGTTGGTATCTGTATATGTCCGAGTATCCGTATGTGTATATACACGTATTTATATAGAGAGACTATACAGGAGAAGCCTAGTTTTGATATGCCATTCTTCCTCCAAAGGTTCAGCAAAGCGCGGGGAGACGCCGAGGCAGCTGAACCCTCCAGGGCCTCAGCACACACTGACCACAGAGCTGTGGCTTTTGCTCCCAAGTGACTTCCCACCATCCCACCCAGCCCGAACAGTGAGCGCCCAGCCAGGCAGGTCCACAGAGAGGGAGAGCGAGAAAGAAGTCCTTGCCCTTTAGCACAAGGACTGCAGCGTACCCACTGCCACCCTGTGCCGTGATCCTGAGCCACGGTGGTGCAGAGGCGGGGCGGGGGCCGTTACCATCCGGGGCCGAGAAAAGGATGGAAAAGGCCTGGGGGGCCAG